TTTTCTTATTACAAATGTAAATTGTCTTGTTCCATTGGCAAAATTTCTCTTTTTCTTCCTAAATCCAAGAACAAATGTACTTATCTATTTTTCGATTTTTTCCAGTGCAACTTAATTTACAGAAGGTAATATATCATTTAAGCGCTCCTCTAATTTGTCAAATGCCAAAATAAGATGCACAGCCATGTAGCAGGATCTTCGCTGAATTGCTGGATATAGATCTTGTGCTTCTAGACCTCACTGAGAGACAGGGGGGACTCCATTTGGTATGCAAGTCATTGAAAACTGTAACTTGCCTTATAAAGGGTTATTAACTGTCTAAATGTGGAATATTTTGAGAGAACTTCAGTAACTCTCAGTTTAAACAAACGTAAAACCTTTAATATGTCTGGCTCTACAGCCGTTAAGGTTACAGTGATTGCTTTAACCCACCTTGAGGCTTACTGTGTATTTTGTTAAAATGCAGTGATAACTTTTCTCTGAGTAAACTCTACATCTATACAGCTTTTAAACAATTTGACCTGTGGATTTTCTCGCCGCTATTCTGGTGGCCCTGCTGTAAAACGCTGGATGCTGCAGTTCTACCGCTTCGGGTTAATGGTTTTGAAGAGAGTAACTGTCCTCGTAAACAAACTGAACAGCTGTGATTGGGTCAACTCCACTGTTAAAAGGCTGCTTCTCACCATCTGACCTAGGTCACAGTAATCCACCAGACCCCATTAAGGTGGGCTGAGTTTGTGCTTGAAACAGAGCTCAGACTATGGTGTGATGAGAGCTGTTAGCCTTGATGCTCCCACAATTGGTCATAGAAAACCCATCTATCTGAATTTCAGGTGCTGTTCCAACATTACAGTATTACATAGCATCTAAGGAGACAGAATAGAGAGAAAACATGTTTTTTTTTAACCCAGAGAAATAAAATAAAATGATCTGCATTAGAACTGTGACAGCCATACATATATTCCAGTGAAACTGTAGCTTTTTCAGCCAGAGGTGTTAAAATTATTGATGTTAATTAATCGAGTATAAGTAGAAACCCTACTGTTTAAAAGCACTTTTGTAGAAGTTAGAGGATCAACTTAGGCTTTTTACAAAAGTGTAAAAGTAAAATTTTTAGAACTACACTGGAAAAACAATCTAGAAATAAGTAAAACTTTCTTAAATCAAGTGTATTTACCCTTAATTTAAGTAGGTA